TTTTTTTAGTGTAAAGACATTGTGTTACCTAATTATAATTTTTTATTATTCACTGAAAAAAATGATCTTATAGTCATAGCGAAAATTATCTAGATATGAAAAATTAGCTAAAATGGATAAATGACTAGCAAGCACTGCGATATCGTATATGTTTTGTATGTAACCAGTATAGGTGGCAGAGACAGAATTTATATCGGAACCATTTATCAAATTTAATAATAAGTTTTTCTATGGCGCTCAATCAGATTATAACCAGTCACACTTCTTCTAAAAGTGACTGTGGTAGACAGAAAATAGTAGCAATAAGAGGTACAAATGTATAATCCTTCAGCGCTGTTTATGTAACCCGCCCAATCTTTCTAACTGCGTTAACATATTTTCTGCGTTCAACTGTCGTACAAGTTTGTGCCGGTATAGTGCTCAGTACACTGAGAGAAAAATGTGAAGTATTTAGAAAGAAATGTTTGCTTGTAATATTTTCTTCCATATTTATCGGTTATAAAAAAATGTGACTGTAATAACGAAATATACATTTCTGTAAAATATATTTAACTAATAGTGAAAAACAAATTGTTTAACTCTTGTTGGAAAAATTAATTTACTTCAAGCAAACGTATATTTGTTTATAGCAATGATATTTAGTTATAACAAGATTAATATTTGTAGCCAAGTAGCATTTATTTGTAGAAATCAAATTTTTAGAAATAAATCTTATTTATGTGGATCCGAAATTAATTTCGGCTGTTCTATATATTATTCGTACATCGGAGAACATTGATTCTCATTGCATCATGTAATATGATGAAATAGTGGCGATACATTGTCGTTCCGTGGTAACAGTGACAGTGATTATCATTTATTGACATATAATTTGAAAATTTGGACAACAAAATGAAAGTATTGTGGAAGTATTACATTTAAAGCGTAAATATTTATAATGTTATAAGTAAAGATAAATATTTATAATATTATAAGTAAAGATAAATATTTATAATATTATAAAAAAATTATAATTATTGCTTCGATTACATATGAGGACAATAAGAAACACTTAGGCTGCGTTCGCTTTGGGCGTTTATGCGCTGTAAGCGTCATTCTAACTTTTTCCCGCATGTAATGAGCAATAAAAATAGAATTACGCTTACAGCGCATAAGTGTTCAAAGCGAACGAAGCCTTAGTATTAGTTGAAGAAGTAGCGCAGCAGCTAAGGTGATAGACTAGAAACCTTTAGAGACATCTGAAGTTCTCGAATTCGCGTCCGACCACTACTGAGTAAATTTTCAGGTGTGAAAATAATGAAAAATCAAACAGAAGAGCTATAAATTTCATTTAAAATCAAATAAATCCGAGATTTATTTTTGTAAAATAAGCCTAACATTCTACAAATAAATTTTCAAATCTTTTTTCTCAGTGTACTGTCTCAGTGCTACAGCGATATACTTTAACTATATTCCTCACACAGATCGTTTTGGCGATTCTCATTTTCATCAAACGCAGCAATTTATATTTAGTTACGAGGCCTAAGTTTTTCTGTATATATTGCAATAATATTGCTGCTAAAAATTTTATGTACCACAAACAATTTTCAAGCAAATACAAAAAACAGCGATTCATTTTGACTGTAACATTTAGAATTCTAGCTGGACCAGTAAAACATTTTTTTGAGTGTCTAGGATATACGTGTATAAGAATTTTACAACGAGATATTATATATAACGTTTATTATATATAAACGTAATTTTTCGTACAATTGTGTGTGTGGAAACGTTCAATCATTTCTCGATAAAATTCCGGTAGCTCGGTGCGCGTAATTGTCTTAATATATTCGATTGTTACTCGAGATTAACAAACTGCAGCACCATGTATTAGTTCAGATTGCGTAGGTTATCACGCGCGATCAATCTAACGTACAGTGCTGCAGTAACTCCCAGGTGCTGCAAGTTTAATCGCGATCGTTGCGTAGTGAACTCGCAACGTGCTTCGTATCGACATCCATGCCGTCGCCATTCGCGAACGCCTCCCCGCATATAAATGACGCAAATTGCATTTAGACTGGTCGGAACTAGTTGTCCGCGTGACTATTTGATGTGCTTATTTCGGACTATTTCGTTATCACGATCGTATCATATCCTGAAACCCTTGGAAACTAACTTGTGGAAACTCAGTATTGTGTCGTAGCTGTGGAACGATGAGATAGTATTTTCTGATACTCGCACATTGTTTGCTTGCTTCCGGCTATATATTTTATTTTATTATCACGATCGTTTATATATCGGCGATTTGCGTATATAAATATACGATTGTAACGCAACAGACACTTCCAACCACCATTTCCAGTCAAAATTTCCACGCATTGGTCACTCCAATTAAACAATTAAATTAATCCGCCGAAAGGGGAGGAAAGGGAACTGATGAGAGAACACATTAAAAGAAAAAAAAAGGAAAAAGTATTAAAATGGATAAACTCACGCGTAGCTGGGTTTGAAAAGATTACAAACGTCTGATATTTTTTCGTTCTCAGCGCACTCTCGTGCTTGCATATAGAGAAAGGAAGAACGAGACAGACCTCTAGTTATTTTTTGGCTTCCACGATATTAATATTTCATCGTAGATAGTAACACAGGTCCGGTTCACGTGGCATGCATTATTCCGAGATATCAGTATGGCTCAAAATACGGTCGGCGCTTTCAAGATATATATGTGTGTGTATATATATTCAAGATATATTCAAGTATATACGTATTAACTCACGTATTAACAATTCAAGAAGTGCCAACCTCAGTATAACGATACATTCATATTCATATGCATTCAATTCCATTTGAACCGTGTCGTCCGTATTCGTATAACATTTTCAAGCATTTATTTCTCCTAACGCCTTGCTGCGGCCCGGCTTCCTATCTCGCCGGGAGAAGCAATAACTTCACATTGAACGAAGTACAGAGCGACATATCCGTTAGAAATACAGGATGATGTAAAGTATTTTCTACAATCTTACAGCTTGAAACTCATAACACCGAACTTCCATCACTTCGCCATATTGCACGTGCTTTCGTACACGGCGTTATTGCACTCGAGGCGTATGAAAGTGCGATCGAAACTCATCACCGTCCCGGCACATTGACGTTCATTCCTGTTTAATCGTTCGATTATAAACATGGTCGTCGCTCTTTTTAGCACCAAAGTTTCATCATTATTCTCGAATCTCTTCCTTAAGTCTCGCGCTGAAATGTCTCTTCCTCTCGGCAGCGTCTATTTTTATCCGTGCATTCGGTTATTTTTTATTAACAACCAGAAAGAGGGAGGGAGGAAGGGAAGAAAAGGCAACTGAAACGTGTCGTGCAGCATGAACAATTACGTGTATCGGCGCGCAACATATGAAAATGCACGTTTTTAGTATCGCGTCCGATGTATCGTCAATATTTGCATACACGCGCTCGCCATTGATAATAAGTAAAAGCAAATAACAATGCAAATTCCGGCCTTCCGCGTTTCGATCTCGACACGAATATGAATATTTGTCTCGACATGAATATTTGAATAAAAATCGATCGATGCTTGTATCCGTTCGTTTATGTCGCGACATGTCATTTTTACTTCCGGTTGATCAATCATTTGACCAACCTGCTCCACTAGCCTCGCGATATTTTCCTCGGACATCTCAAACAACCCGGAAACTCGGAGTCGTCGAGGGACGAGTCGTCTTTACCCTCGGCGTCGTAACACGTGTCGGCATAACACGTGTAGCGTTCGGCGGAATATACGAGACACGATTACTCGGCCCGTCAACTGAAGTATCGGTGAACCAGCAACAGGTTGCCTATTTACCCAATCCGTGCACTTCTACCGTGCACTGTATACGTGACCTCGTTCCGTAAGCCCATAGGGCAAAATATAATCTCGAGGGTCACGTTCGGCATCTACATGCATCTTTTAGTAACTTCGGATGGAAGCGGCCGACTTATTGTGCATAATTCACGCAATATGATTTCACTGTCCGCTTACTTGGCACTGGAGACTTTAATGCTATCGCAGTCAGCAATTAGGATTGCATTAAGTCGATTGTGCATACCACACAGCTAATCTTTCTTTCTTCTTTTCCCACTTCTTCTTCTTCTTGTAGCTCGTTGTAATCCATTACTGGATGTAAACTTCCCGTGCCGTTTATCATTGTCACCTCACTTCTTGAAGTTGACGTGTTCCCTTGACACAGTCGTCTTATACTCACAAAAATTCTCCATCGCCTCTCTTCGAAATTCGAGATCACCAAATTCCAATTCTCGCAATCTTGTCCTTTAGTCTCATATGACCGACTGTTATTTAACTGCTTGTGATTCCGGGCGAGTCACGTACGGTTTCCTTTGCACGTTCGAGAGGAATACGCGAGAATATCAAATTTATTCGTCGTCCCTTTGCCGTCAGACTACGACACAAGTCTCCATTTTACTTGGCGTCCTGTTCGACGCAGGCCGCGCAAAGAAAATAAGAGCTATCGAATAATTCGAGTATATATACGGAATGTCGGCTGGGTAACGCGATTTCCTCGCTTCGTATTCACTCCTAAGATCGTATTCACATCAATGAGTTCTATTTACCTGATGTGCTTTTAGGTCGCCTTCTCAGTAACACGACGCTCTCACATTCGCTTTTCTTGACTTTTATCACCTCTTTAATATCTTTCTTCTACGATAAAACTGTGTATCTCGTGCACACATTATACGGAGTATGAGAAACTGATACATACTTTCTAACTGTATCGAAAATAAACTGCATAAAGAAACTGTTGTTATCTTGCATAACGTTCGATGTCCATAATAAGATATAAAATAAAAAAAAATTAGAATAAAGAAATAAATAATGTGTCTCATGAATAAGTTGGCGATATGATTGAGTTGGATAATAAGTTAACTTACAAAATAAAAAATAGATAAATGTAGTTAAGTATGTAACTTGTATTCTACTAGACAAGGCGCAGAAATTTTGCACAGTCGAATGCCAATTACTATCGCTCAACTTTGTCAAATATTAATAAAGTTGAGTTGACAATCTGAGTAGTTGCTTCGATAATAAATATTATCTACTTCGACGGAATTGTCGACGAAATTCGACAGCGAACGTTAGCTCACTTATAATATAAGCGTGTATTAATGTGAATATTTCGTTCCGCTCAGCTAAGCATCGACGCACGAATGTATGTAACATCTGGTTCCAGTAGACCGCGTGATTTACTTAGGGAAATCGTAGGCTTGGGAACAATTTTGGTGTATATAAGCTAATATCTACGGACATTTGCGGGCATGCCTATTGCATCCATATCAAATAAAGGAATATATATAGAAGAATAATACATAATATAACATTATCAGCTACGTGTGCACAATCATAAATATGTATCTATCAAACAGCAACGATCCAAATATTTAGGTGTAATTCTCTGTCAACACTGCATTTATCATTTAGTACATCAAACGATATATAAATTTTCTAATTACAATGTGAGTAAAGCGAAGATACTTGATATGAATTATTTAGGATAATTGCAAGATGTTTTCTTTTTTGGAGTTATAATAAAAAATAATAAAAACCCGTGATAAATAGCAGTATAGTGATAAATACCTAGAAGTGCAAAGAAAAAAAATATAGTATTCATAAAAAAATTAAATCGTGTCTTTTTTTAATTTCGTTTTCAAACTTGACCTTCAATATTTGAATGTTAATTTAATATGTCAGATGTTTTATAGGACACGATTCTCCTTTAAAGCTAACCACTCATACATTAATAGCAAATATAACTAATCTAACAATATATAATCAAGTATATTAATTGTTGACTTAATCATTTGCATTTGATATTTCGACATTACCTATCGGGAAAAAAGCTCATGTTAAATGTTTTATTGACTAAATATTATCAAATAATATAAATATTATCCTGTAATAAAATGACATTACAATTAGATTAGTAATTCGAAAATTGCGAAACAGTTTTATGATAATATGGATATTTTCTTTGAGAAACCAAACCATCTATAAACTAAACTAGACTAGACTACGCATTGACATAGACGTGTATTTTTTCTTTTAGCCCAAACATGATGAGCTCGACGTTGATGGTTCTCGTGTCTGTGACAACTATGGCAATGATATCCGGCGAAGTTTTCGCCGCGTTGCCTGCTCAGTGCAATCCGGGATTTTTTGAGGAGCTTCCGCCCAGGCTACGTAAAATCTGCGTCACTATCGCCAGAATATGGGACGCTAGTGACATGAATAATTTTATCGACGACAAAGGTAAAATCGCTTGTTAATCGTATCGCTTGCTCTTGAGACAGTACATATGATATTTTTTTCATTCTTGCACGTGTTATCCAAAATATTCTATCCTAATCATTAATATGGATATAACAATATAGAGCGAGACGGTAAATTAATTAAAATAATATTACTGTAATAGATAGAATGAAAAAAATAGTGTGATATAACGTCTCGATATAGTTCTGTTAACGCTTTGTCCTACATTATATTTTTTAAATAATTTTAAAGTAAACATTCTAATACGGAAGTGCCAGGCCTCTCTTTCAGGATAGTAAATGAACAAAATGAGCGAATGAGTAACGTTCATTGTTATCCTAGGATCTCTTTAGAACATACTTTCAGGACATACAATGATTAAAAAAATTATATGTAATTGGTTGTACAGTCCGATGTGTTGCGATTAAGACATCGTTGTTTGACTTACCATCAGATTAAGACATCTCGCTTGGCTTACCATCAGTTAAAGACGCAATTAAGACACAGTTCCATTTTGAAAATACATCACAACCTTTGTTCCGAGTATCAAAGGTTTAATAACAATTGTAGTTGCTGAATCTTATGCGTTTAGATTTGATGAGCCATGAGGTGAATAATGGTGCCATTGCCATTTTCCACGTCATAGATACTTACATAATGACATGTAAACAATATGATTCTTTGTATTTGATGTTCGTGTAGAAATGTAGAGGTAATATATCGCGCACGCGTCCCCGCAAAAAAATATACCGCGTGTAGAATATTAATACGCAATATAACATACGAAGTAATATGACGTTTCTTTTACAGACTTTGTGAATGTGTGTATGTGTGTGTGGCGGCTTATTTTTTATGTAACCCGTAGTAACCCTCTGTGCATAATATTTTTGCAAAAGCTGTTACAAATGGATTTATTCAGCATCGAAGAGTCGAAACAACTCATAAATGCACGACCTACTTGATCTAATTTCGGATTTGCAGCTGCTTTCGTGCTTCGATATAATGAAGAATCCATCTCTGAAATAAGACCAACCAATAACGGAATATTTTGTATTGATTTGTATCTTTTATTTATACACTGATTTTTATGTATGTATATATTTTTATTTTTACAGTATACTATACCGATTATGCTATCCTGGATGTCAATCCTTTTTTATTCGATTATTCGTATATATTTTCGAGTTGAAGTTTGCGTTTGGATAATCAAGGGAGCTGTATTGAATTGCTTTCAGAATACCGAGAGTATTTGCCGCGATATAACAGCGGTGTCAAGAGGCAAGATGTCGATCACGTTTTCTTGCGCTTCGGCAAACGACGTTAAAATGGCATCGCCCATTCTGCTCTGTATGCACAAGCGGTAAACGATCAAGTTCTCTTCAAGTCGTTCGATCGCCTCATCATCGACTCGTAGGACATTTGCCGAATTATAAAAATCTACAATCAGCCCTTTCCCTCCCCCGCGCCGAAAGACGATCGCCTAATCTCATTAAATAATCTAGTCTCTTCTTCGACTATTGCATTTGAACGGCGTTTAAGGGCGAAATCGGTGCTTTTTTAGCGTTAAGTCAACGTGAAAGTGATTTCGATAGATTTTGATAGATTTGCACTTCAAACACACACCGCGATTAATTTGTTCAAAAAGTTCAGATAGATATCAAATAGCTTTGAAACGTGTTACATTATGCAAGTTTTTTGGTAAATATATAGAAAACTGGTGCCACCTCCGATAGGCTTGACCTTGACATATGTTATAGAGGTCACTCTCCTGAGTGACCTTCTGAAGATTTTAGCCGTCGCTCGTTGTTTGTTAAAAAGTTATTAACAAAAGAAGTTGCATAAAATGAATGTAATTTTTGGACACCGTATATATGAAAACATCGAATTTGTAGGTTAAGAAGATGTCTGCCACTGCTCTAAGTAACATTTAAAAGCTTTTAACTGGCACTCATTGTTTGTTAAAAAGTTAAAAAAAATGCATTAATATCAACACAGAGTATATTAAGTGGAGTATATAAACGGTGTCTGTCACGCTTCCTGTGTCTAGGAAGCTACGTCCCCCAGTTACACGGCTAGGGACAGGCACCTTTTTTATTTTTATTATTTTCTATTTATAAAATTTCAAATATAATAGGAACACATGCGCACACCACGATGTTGTCCAAAAATTACATTCATTTCATGCAACTTCCTTTGTTAATAACTTTTTAACGAACAACAAGCGACGGCTAAAACCTTCAGAAAGTCACTCAGGAGGGTGACCTCTATAACATATGTCAAGGTCAAGCCCATCGGAGGTGGCACCAGTTTTCTATATTTAGTTTTTTTATTAACGGCCAACGTCCTGCTTTTTGAATGACGAAATTTTATAGCAAGAATTAATTTTCCTCTTAATAGTCCTCTTCCAAATAAAACATAATGTTTATGCATATTAAAGATTTTCAGAATAATAATTATAGTATTATAGTCAAAAAGTATGCATTCTTGTTGATTACTTCTGCGAAGGATCAGAGGAAAACACGAGTTCTACGACATATTTTTCTTTTTCTTCAACCGATGACTTATGTGCAATGGCAAATGTCCTAATGGCAAATGGCAAATGGCAAATGTCCTAATGGCTGAAAGTGGAGCGCTATTTTGCAGGCACGATGAAAACGATTTATCTAATAATTCTAATATTAATCCGAGATTTTTAGAGTGTAATAAAGCGATTACTATTTAATTGAAATTCTTGATATTATAATTACGGCATTATTATCTAACGGATGTATGAAAATTTGTTACAAAGTATGTTTCTATAACTCATGCATGATAATCGTTTGTGGCTGTAATATCTTAGAGTTTGCATTACAATCAAGAGATTTGTGATGTAACTCATATATAGATAAACGTGCGTATAGATTTGATTTTTTCGATAATATATAAAAGAGCCAATTAAAGCTTGAATATATACAAATTAGTAGGCTCTAATTAATAAGTTATTGACTGTTGAGAGAGAAAGAGAGAGACTTAATTTATGTAATTTATTGATTCTGTTTTTAACCGCGATTTTTTATTTCGTCCGCGTGTTTTTCTACTTCGTAGAAACGACTTCGTCTCGTGGAAACGATTTCTCCGGACCGTCAGAACAATTAGGCCGAGGAAATAGCTTGATTCACATGCAAATTCTAGAAGACTCGTTTTAGTGCGCGCGTGTCGGACGATTTAGCGAGACGACTGATTTCCGTCACTCCTCGTGCACAACTTCTACAACTATCTGGCGATTATTAAATGTACTTACGCGCGAGAGGATAAAATAGAAAATTCGCGACGCAAGTGCAATTGCAGTAACACACGTTGGAATACACCTTTGCGCTCGTTTTTCTCAATTATTAGCTACACATCGACATACGTTTTTTAATATTTGACGATTGCCTAGAAAATACCTAGCGATCATTGTCGTCGGTTTTACGAGGATTTGCCGCAGTGGCGAGTGATTGGACGCGTGAAACGATCACAACACGATCACGTGAATAAGTCACTCCGAAAGCTTGGCACGCTGCGCGCATTGCGATTACGTCGCGCAAATATGTCATCTTAATCTACCCTCTGTCATGTGAATGTACCGAGTTTACTCGTCTTATTAATTCTATGTCATACTTTAACTAGTCCTTATGGTTAGGCCAACATCACCGACTTTATGTACGTATGTACGCACGTAAGAACGTAGGCACGTTGCGCCGTATCAGTTTTCCCGCGACTACTATTTCCAATTAATCACGCTCGTCTTCGCATCGCGAGATAATGACCGTCTACCGTCTACGAGCGAGAGAAAGTAAAGGGTGTTGTACGAGAGCGAGCTCGCGCCGTTTATTTCGCAAATCGATGATGCTTCGCAGCACAATTCGCCATTATTCGCGGAGGATTCCTTCGACTTGTTTCTTTGGCACTTTTGAACATTCTAAATTTTATTAATTAAGTATTACCGGGACACCTGCGCAGAAGGCATCTTTGCGTCTAATCGAACGTAGCATTTCCATATCGAAGATACGTGCCAACGTTAGGAGGTCTCCGCCTTGAGAGACCATTAGCATTACTCTCAATGTCTCTACGTCTTACTCGTTGAATATATTCACATAAATGTATTATCACTCACGGAACGGACAAAATCTGTAAGATACGGTCGATGCGACGATATGTACTAATGTATGTATGTACATATCGTAAGATAATAATATATTTATTATAACTGATATATAATATGGCATATATATATATATATATATATATATATATATATATATATATATATATACATACATACATATATAAATCGATTCTCTCAGAATACACTTGTTTTTTTAGTGTCCTACCACCTACCCTGCTATTTACCATGAGATATTACGAGGCGTAACGAAAGATACTTCCAATTTACTCGATATTTACTCTGCAATAACACAACGGATTAGATTATCCGACTGTGTGTCTATGGGTGGAAATAAAAAGTGTAATTTATAATGCGACTACACGCGGTTACACCGTTTCTACTGTGCTGTATTTCACTCGCAGACCCTGGATAATTTTCGTGGTCTTCTTTTACGGTTCTTCTTCTTGTCGTTCCTTCTCTTTCTTTCATTATTTACGTTTAAACCGGAGATTCTTTTCTCCGTTTCTGGGAAATTTAATTTCCCCCTTTTCTATTAGAAACATTTCCATTCGTTGTTTTTCATTCTCTAACGCGTCCTGCGAGATAAGAAGAAAACAAAGAGAAAAGATAAAGAACGTTACACATTGCTTACAAACAGCGCGAAATTTTTTACTGGCATTGATAGAGCGCGGCGAGACGTAATTTATGCACAAGATGACACGACGGTTCGTTGGAAATTCGGAAAAAGAATGTTTCGAGCCTCGGGATTGATTATCACCGACTCGATTTCCGGCGACGATCAGAGGATCGAGTTTGCGGAAATCGAGCTAGTCGGAAGTGAATGAAAGCGAATATAAGAGAGGCTGAGATGGACAAGCGGATCGAGCAACGGGAACTAGCTATGCAAGATAGGTAAGAATTTAAAATTGAAGTTTTATTTAAAGTTTCAAGTTACGTGTAAATACATTGCGATATTTGCACAGAAATGGAATGAGAAACACATTAACTGTTGCATAAAACATCTATTATTCATCAAACTGTTCTTTTGCTGTTAAACGTTCGACCAACGATACAATGTAACGTCAAGAAACATGACAGATAACGAACATCTCTCAATGAAGAAATCTCACGCGTTACAAACACGTCGAAGCTCGTCAGCATCGAGAGCATCAGGATATTGATTGAAAGCAATTATAAAGAAATAATCGAAGCTCATTACTTTTGCCAATAATCGCTCTGAGCGTTTCATTTAAATGTGGAAAAACGATGTTAATAGCGTGTTAATAATTTCATGATCAATTGCAGTTGGAAAATACATTTTAATCACCATTGGCCTTTTGATGGTCCATCGAAAAGAAAGATACTGAATAGATAAAAATATTGAATATGTGAAAACGTATTGTATGTAACGAAATATTGAAAACGTAGAAGGCAAGAAATCAAAAGTCAATTTTCAAGATATAATATTTGACGAAATTCAATCCCTTATTTCTTTTGCTTCGTATGTTCATTGTATGTGCGTCTCGCCTCTTTAATCTGATCTTTTCATTGTCTCAGGTTTACCTTGCGCAAGGTTTAGATATTCCTTACTATTTCCCCAGTGACCTCAACTCCACCACGTGTACAGTCGTGATATTTTTTTGTCTCACCTTGGCGGCCTTACCCTTAACCTTTAGAGGATGATGGTCAAGTCCATCTAAACATGCTATGTTTGAAATCAAGACTTTCTACAAATTTATCACTTTGTTATACTTGTAACTTCTTTTCTTCATTAAACGTTACTGTTGCGACAAATGAGGAAACATGTTCTCGTGATATCGCGTTGGACGATAAATTCTGAATTGCGCAATTCAGCAATCGCCGGCACATTGGCATTAAACTGGAGCTCGCAAGGATTGGTAACGTATAACGAGACAAAGAAACAGTTTCGTTAGATAGTTCGGTTTAGTTATTAAATTTTCAGAATTTGCAAACGTTCTTAAACAACATGCGCGCTGAGAGGAAAAAATATCTAAGAAATAGTAAATAGTGCACTATACTGAGAAAAAAATTTACTAAATTACAAAAAACGTTTATTTGGATAGTACTGTGAAGATATTTGTTTAAATTAAATAATTATTTTCTAAAATTAAAGAAACAAATTTATATTTAAAACTTCTTTATTTAATTTTAGAAAATAATTACTTAATTTAAACAAATATCTTCACAGTACTATCCAAACAAACGTTTTTTGAAATTTAGTAAATTTTTTCTCAGTGTAGTGTAACATAGTTCGGTAGATACTAATAATATATTTACTTAAACTAATGTATTTGTCGAATAAGAAAATATACATTCTTTTTAAAACCTTGAGGAAACTTTAGCTTTTCATGGAAGCATTTAAATGTAAGAATTTAGATTAAGTAAATATGTTATTAGTACTCATCACAAATAATTTACTATTTTTTCTCTCAGTGGGTTAGCTATATTAATTAATTAGCATCTCATCGATTACAGAATGAGATTGACAATCAAAATCCCTTAAAATCACTTTTGGAATTTCGAGCACTCTGCAAATTTCAAGGTATCCGTAACGGAGAAGCGAATGAAGAAGTGGGCATGCTCTCTCGAAATAGACTCCTTCGAAATAAACTCCTTTCACGTAAAATGCAGATATAGAGTCTTTCGAAATAGACTCCTTTCACGTAAAATGCACAGACGCTCGAACTCGGCTCCCGTAAAGTGTCCTTCTCGAAAGGAGGTTCAAATTCGTCCCACATCGTCCGCACGGGTTCCGGAGATTGATGTCCCGCCGTCGTCTCGGCAATTACCCGTGCGGCAATATTTGTTCGTTCCCTTGGTCGACCTTCCCACGGCATCCTAAGTAGCCTTTATCGCGCGTACAAGCAAGCGTACGGCGGGAAAACGTGTCCCAATTTCTCGCCGTGCATTTCGCAGCTCGTATTTTATTCCTGTCGCGCGTAATTTATCTCGCTTCCACCCACATGCGCGCGCGCGCGCGCGCGAACACCGTCGCGAAACGCAGTTTGTGGTTTCGCGATGCCGCACAGATGGGACTCCCGTGCGCGACAATTGTTAGCTGAAGCGGACAATACGAAATTTGCTTAATAAAGATCCCTCATCTGATTATATACAGGTCCTCCACATTACTTCGCCCTTGTTTTATTAAGATTATTCAGTTTATATACATTAAGCTTTACAGCAGTGCGAGTTTCTCTTTCTTTTTGTTAGCGTTACAAAAGTTCGCTCTACCTGAGGTGGAAGAAAAATCATAGTATCTCATTAAAAAGAAACGTATTATCTAGGTAAGAAGAAACGTTCCTCCTCGGTTATCCGAAGTAATTTATTAGTTTACGCACGCGCGCGTAATTAATTCTCGGTAATATCAGTTTATTTTCTATTTTGTACTTTGGATTTTCTTAATATGTCACTTCGATACATGTTTTTCAATTCTTGTATGCGTTCGCTTTCTTTGCTATTTTCTTTAGTTGTTATTGCACAATGATTTAATTGCTACATCAATAATCGGATATTCATTGAGCTTCGTTTGTAATATTGGATAAGAGTACTACGAAATACATCTCTAATATTATCAAATTTTGCCACAACAAAAAGCATTATGATTTCTGGCCCCTCGTCACGACTATTTTGATTTATGACAAAATGAAAAAAACGAAAAAATGCATACTTAAAATTCCTGCTAAAAAAAGAGCGAAATAAAAAGATCTATTAAAAAATTGGTGTTTGTAATTAATTAAAGACACTATTCCAAAATATTCTGAACATTTTCTTGTTTTCTTGTTAGTTTAACAATCAATAAATAACCGTGAAACTAATGTGAGAAGATAATAAACAAATGTATAGATTAAAAATAAAGGTTGCGTATCATTTTATGGTTATGTATTGATTATTAAGACGATATAACGACTTTTAGTCGTTAATAGTCGATATCTTTAAAACTTTTATACGCTCCCGTAATTAAGTAGTGAAATTTCAAGCTTTATCGTTATTCTCTGTAAACAAATATACGCCTTTTAAATTAACTTTGATAGAATAATTTAAACAACTTAAATAATATGTTTAAAATTAATTCTCTTTAAAAAACAAAAAAACAGATAGTAACATCGACTAGAGTTTCGTCACTTAAGTGGACGTTTCGTTTGACTCTCACGTTGAACAAATTTCGTATTGTTTTCACTTGGAAAACAGATATAAAATATACAAACCGTAAAACACTACTGCATGTAAAAAGTTTTATCTAGATATTACATATAATAACAATATCTTATTATAATACGACATATTTTGTCGCGTGTGGCACTCGAGTGACAATTATATTTTACTTAATCGAGACACAAATTCGCTGATAAAATTTGAAACAATATTGTTTATATTACATACACAAACAAAATATTTTTCGTATAATAACGTTTTGTCATACGCCAAACAATACAAAAGTTTAAAATACATCTTAGAGACGTAAAAACATCTAAAACAAGTAGTAAGATATCTTTTAAACGTTTCTAAGATATCTTTTAGATATTTATATTGTGTGGGACTTTATGTCACTTGCTTCGTTAGTTACTATAAAAACATATTTATATTTTACCTATTACATATATAATAGGTGCAAAATAATATATAACACAAAATAAGGCTATTATTATTATATTTACAAATTCATGGTAGAGCGTTGTGACCAAGTGTAGCATGATGTATAACTCTGCTCTTCTTCGAGAGAATTATCAAAATTTCAGAATTAAGAACCATGCTTCTGATACACGCTAAGTCTATCAGTTACATATTCTGTGTAATGCAGAATATTGTAATGGAACTTTTTGCATGATCTTAAAGGCACCTAGTGACCAGAAACGTATTTTAATTTTTTCTAGTAACCTAATTACTTCGTTTAATATTCTGCAAACGTAGTTGCCTTTAGCACAATTCTATCACTCTCTAAACGAGATTAATTTAACAATACCGTTTAAAGGAGGAAAAATCATTTTTGGCTTCTTTATATTTGAAGTTAAAAAAAGTATGGTACTATACATTCTTCCTCTTCCCTAACTCATTTTAGTTATTCCGGTAATTAAACATTCATTAATTATCCTCGCTGACAGTCGCGCACACTTGAAATCAGCCGACTGGATTCATTAAGAAAGAATGGAACAGAATTTCAATGATGTGATGGAACTATATACATAGCCTCACAACCTGATGAGCGTATTTAGATGTAATCAGTTACTTGAGATTCAGCGTGACACTATATGGCGATTTATGGCAGTAAACGTGTTAATGTAAACAATACTTCGATAATAATACTTCGAAGAATGCGAAGCATCTCTACCATGTTCTATCGTGTTCGTTTGCTTAAATAAGAATAAAGCATATATTTGTTTCTGAGAAGAAATAGTTGAAGATGAAGAACTTATAATTATTCGATAGTAAAAATCTGATCTAAATTTCAAGATCTAGATCCTAACCTAAAATCCTTCAGATCTTTCCTAAAAAATTTATTTATATTTACATTATATATAGTTTCTCAGAAGTAAATTTCTTTACAAATACGATTATTTCTCTCGATTCAAGTTCATCTAATGAGCTTGCACATAAGGCTTCAGAGATCGTGAATGGAGATCAGTTATCTTATATCCCTCGTTCGCAGAATAAATTATTAAATAACAATGTCGATTACCACGTGCTGTTAAAGCATCGCTAGCAGACGCAATAGAAGTCAATTAAGGTTGATGGACTGATATCGCAGGTGATAACGTTGACATTTTCGTTAGATCAGCGTACGCACATATAGACGTATGGACACGTGGATTCGGATCTGACGAGAATGTCGGTAAACATTTAATCAGATGATTGATCGTCAAGTGTGATGGTTGTTTACGGCGGCGCTGAATGCGGGGGTTGGGGTCAGCAATTTGAAACAGCACTATGCTTCTCGTCGGCGTAATAGGATACTGTCACCACGTCGCCACCTACATTGATCAGGCACTGACCCTGGAAACATTGGTGTTAATCACATTTTTCTGTTTTACCAAATACATATACAAACGTATTGCGATTATAATTCAACAGTGTACCAATATTAATCTCTTCGTCATGATAAAAGAGAACAAGCACACGGAGAATGGGAAAACACGCGGGAGTAAAATAACATTTCTGCTTACTTGATTTTTGTGTGGACTATGAAGAAGCACGCATTGCGTCATCGAGAACGCAACCATAGCGTTACCGCCTAATGCTGTGATGTGTGCGCGTACGATTGCAAGAACTTCCATCACGAAACTGTGAGTGAAACCGCTCAGTCCACCATTCTGTAAACATGCCAGTGTCATTATTGTTAATGATTATTATTACAATTATTTAGTTATTATTATAATATTTCGTAAATTTAATATAGCTTCCAGATGAAACTCACTTCCCGTATAGATGTACTTTCACGGATAAAAAAGAAATTTAAATTGCCTTGGTATCTCTCTATTCTTCCACCCGGAAGGTAAGATAAAGGTGTTATGTCTACGCCGTATCTTCCTTTTAAAGGCACCTGCAATAAAGAGTAAAATGAAGACTATAGAGACTTAGAATAAATAAAGCCTCAATAGAGATTTACAATGGAGAAAAAAACACCAATAATATTAAATCAGAATATATTTAAAGAAAAAACTCACATGTTTATGTCTGTGAGTCGAAAATGTTCTTGAACGTAAAGGTGAGCGCGGTCTCGGCTTCTGCATAGAAGCACTATTTAAAATCGCGGAGTTTCCCACATAAGGTCGAACCGCATTATCAGATATAATGTTGTTATCTATATGATCCTCGTCCAAGCTAAATATCATGTCACTGTCATCTAGCGAAAAAAAGTAGAATTAAGTATTCGATGCTTATTTTTTACGAAGTTTATCTCTGAAGGGTACTACAACGCCTAAATAAATGTAGCGTTCAACGCTCACACAACTACAAAGCTACATGTGCCGTAAAGCGCGATAAAAAATTGTGCGGCGTAAATTCTCGTCAAAATAGAAATACAGTTCGCGCGAGCGAAATTGCATTAAGAAGTACCTGATTTCCTTACTTGATCCTTGCTCAGGGAACGACATACGACTTTCTTTTTATATCTATCCGTTTTCAAGGGTTCTCCCAATCCAAGCGCCATACCGACGACAGTTAGTTGTATCTCGTCTTGTTCGGGTAACGCTACTCTAAATTGCATATCACATAATGCACAAGGGACCATTCTCCTTAATTTGAAGCATAAGGACTAAAATAAAAATAAAAACTTGTCACTAAGATATATTTCATAATTTAATGAAATTATGAATTATATCACATGAAGCAGCAACGGCACCTGAAGTAGTCGGGCAAAAAATTTCGACGGCATCGTCGCGAATTGTCCCGCGGGAATTTTCGTTCTCGAGACTTGAGTAAACATCTGCAAATTTCGAACAATTTCTAAGTCCTCCAGGCCGGGAATCGTCTGCATATTGACCACATGGAAATCGTCGGGCGGTCTATCGTCCATCAACGACGATATTCGATCCAGATCTTCGATGTCATCCACTTCCAAGACGCAAGCATCACGTGTACCCACTCCGAGATCAAGTTCTGGCAGATCCTCGTCCGACTCGTCCGTGTCGGAAGTACTCGTGATGCGTGTACTTTCTGCTTCCTACAATCACGCGACGTTACGAAAATTTGCAATGGAAAGATGAATGTTAGTGCTATATGTATATGTGACGAATATATGAAGACTTGGAATGTGACAATGGGACATAATTCAATAAACAATCTTAACACAAGCGGCAATTTTCGCGTGCGACACGAGACGCATTATCTAGCTGTTAACTTCGTTGTCCGTCTTTTCGTTACGCAACTCTTTATCAAGTATTCATATTTCAGCAAACCGCTATACTATAATACGCGTGTTACATACGCTGATGGTAGGTTTTAGATGATAAAATTCTCGATTTTTCTTCACCGTCTCTACAATGGATTTTTGAATCTCCGCCAATTGTTCGTCGTTGTGCCACGAATTGCCAGACGCTATTTGCGGAATGGTAGGTGGTGGTAACGCTGTCAGATAAAGTGCGGTGCCCACCGCCATACCGATTATCAAACGTTCTCCGACTGAGACCTGCAGCCTGAGGCCGAAGATCGCGTTCATGCCTTTCATCTTGAGCTTGTTCAATAGCAAACTATGAAGCTCATATTCCAAAAATGGTAGGCTATCGGATATCTCCTTGGCGTTCAGTTCGCCTCGCAGGTCCTTCTTGTTCTTGCACACGGTCGCTTGGATAAAGCAACCTCTGCCGGTTGTTGGTATATTCGCTGGCACTTCTATGGTGGTGAACATCACGTCCGGTACTCTAGCGCGTTTGCATATGGCACACTTCGATACGTTAACTCTGAACGGCACGCTCTTCTCGCAATATGGGAGATGACACAAGTTACACCTTAACTGAGCCTGGCCGCAAGGACCCTCGTGATCGTTGCTCTCCGAAGAGTGTCTGCACGCTTTACTGTTTTGTCGTTCCGAATGATTCGCGACAGGCGTATCGCTGTCAGCCTTCTCCGTCTTCATTGCCATTGACTTTTGCTGACTCTTCTCGCGATCCGTGTCCGCCGCGGTCGCGGCGGCTGTCCCTAGCTGAAGTTTATTCAGGGTCAAACTATCCGGTTCCTGAGTCGAATTGTGAAGGTTTATAACCGCTGCGGTGCCAGAAGCACTCAATACGCATACGTCATCACTGTAGAAAAATCATATCAGCAATATAACATGTATATCAAAGATTTTATTCAAAAAATGAAAGTAGAAGTGGCACAAAACATTGCTAAAACGATTGCACCGATTTCAAAAGTTCCCAAGAACAAGGAAGAAAGTTCACGCGTTTTCATGTCGGCAAGTGCTGAGCTTTTCTAATTCGACAACGCGTTGTCTCACTTCAATCGATGTTACAAAATTTCCTGCAGAATGTAACGATATCTCACCATATGCTGGTTTCTTCTTTGTAGCCTATAACTACATTGCAAGCCAACGCTCTCGCGTGTGATCGAACTTCCATTCTGATTTCGGTCCACCAAGCATCACGACCTTCTGGTTCCTCCAAGTTGCTTATCCTCTCGAGCAACTTTACCGATCTTGAGCTCACCAGGCCACCTATCTCCAGATATATAATTCAGTTTGTTGTGACATTTGGTCTAGTATAACGCCCATATTTTCCAGAACCAGCCGATTTATCGTTAACAACAGATCGGACCCGATACCTTATATCGAGAATATGGCCTTAAAGACGTGTAGTATAGCTTAATTACCTATGTGTAGTATGAAGCCAGGTGGATAGTGTTGCATCGTGATAAACGGGTATTCTAACATTTCCAAAGTGTCCTGGTTCATGGACCTAACTACCGCAGCTGGTGTCCTTAACGGTGCCGCCATCGATCTATCATTGTTGCCAAGAGAGTTACCTGAGACAAGATGATCGTTCCCCATCCTTTATCTTCCTTTTTTCAACAATTCTTTTTCTTTTTAATTAAAAGTATCAGACTAATAACATATTACTAGAAACCATACATTTACTTATCATAAAACATTCATAGAAATGCCTGGAGCTTTTTGGAGAAGTCTCTTATTTTCCTGAAAATTTTCTTATCATTCTTGTCCGTTTCGCAATTATCAATCGATTACTCTCTTTTATTGTAATTCAAAGTGATTTTATTAATGTGACGAGAATGTCCAGTCATCAAGAAACGTTTATTCAATTATCCCCGTCACGGAGAAAGAGAAACCAACCTTTCGGAGTGACACTCAAGTCGGAGTCGCTCGACCTCCTGTGAAGCGGCACGTTGGCGAGCGTCCTGGTCGCCGGTGACTGGGAGACTTTCGCCGCCACAGATGGCACAGCCGGGAGCGGGTAAGAAGGACTGACAGACGCTGCCTCGTCTTGCTGCCTAAGATCGGGAGAAGGATGGGACACACACGAGTTGTAAGTCATTTTAGCCGTGTTAGTGGGCTCGGTGCGATCAATATGACACAATGTTTCGTTTAGATTACAGACGCTAGTGCATTTGCGTATCACGACCGCCGGCATGCCGACGCTCGGCGACGGTCGGGATGCCGATTGATTAGTGTTCGTGGTCGGTTTACTGTGGACACCGTCATTAATGTCAGATAACGCAACGACGTCGGTTTTACCGCGGTTCTCGAGCGATCTTCTCGAGATTTCGAACACGTCAGATCGACGGTCGATCGTGACGAATGGAGTAACTACGGCGGCTCGTTTCGAGCTGAGTGACACGCGCGCGTGATAATGATTATGACGATGATGCCGATGATGTTGACGATTAGGATGATGATAACGATGACGATGACTGTGACTCAAGCTGAGGGGGGAAGAGTCGCAGGAACGGGAAGTAGCTCGGAACGAAGTGATCAGCTGCTGATCCGAGGAAAGACAATTGGGGGTGGAACAGACGCGAGGAACGCAGAAGGAAACGTCCCTCCCGTGATTTTTATGATGTTTTCTCGTGGATGTATCGCCACGCGAGGGAGATTTCTTGAGCGACGTCGGGATTTCGCGCGTCTTTTCGCGCTTCTTCCGTTTGCTTCTCAACGAGACAGTTCTTTTATCATAGCGCGTCGTCGCGCGCTCCGACACCATCATCTTCGTATCGATCAGCTTGATCAGATCCAACATGCACCTCTGTCTCTCCATGCTCGTCCTCGCGCGAATTTCTTCATACGACAGACTTGTGTCGGTCGGTTTTCGCGACGAATCGGCCACTGAGTCGTTCCTCTTCTGGTCAGTGCTCACGCGACTCTCCGTTTCACTGGGCGACGGTGATTCGCGTCGCATTGATTGCATTTCTCGTTGAGCGGATAAACTACGCGCTCGACACAGATCTCGTTGGTGTCGCGTGAGGTGCACACGATGCATTCTCTCGTACGACGAACCGTCGGAGCCGGACGTAGCACTGCCGCGCTGTTCGTTCTTTTCCACCCTCAAGTTTGACCTTTGACTCGACCTCGCAGAAGCATCAAGCGGCTGCCTCGCGTCGTCGACGTCTCGCGGTTTATTATTTAACGGATGAATGCTTTTCGATACGAAACCATCGGTGTCCATGAGGTCGCGCGACGTTGAAGCGTACGGCGAGGAATTCTCGTTACTTGGCAACAGTCTGGAGGAATCAATGGACGCGTCCGAATCCGTGCTCCCGTGCATGTCCACGGTAATTATGGGGATCTCGTCGTTGCGTAATTCAACGCCTTCCCCACTGCCTAAGTTTAGGTTTAGGTTTGATGACAAGCGATATGTTGCATCCGAGTCGACTTGCAGAGTGGAATCCGTATAGCTCTCCGCGCTGGAGCGGGCGACTTCAGTTCTCTCCCGAGAACTCAGCGAGCGCTCCCCTCTGTCGAAGTCGCTCCCATCGAGCGAATATCTTGAGTCGCGTAAAATGTTGTAACTGGTGTTATCTTCCGACGAGTCGTCGTCCGCACTGGAATTGTCGTCGTCGAAAGAGGACATTTCGGTTTCGCCGATTGATGACGAGACGTCTTGACCAAGTCGCTCTTCAGTCTTGACGTCGCCACTGATGTTCTCCTTAGGATCAACAGGGACCTCTTCCTCACAGCACATTTTAGTCTCTTTCTCGTTGGACTGCTCGTTGCTGGAAGAGACGGGAGAAGTAGGATCACCGTTGCCGATGTTCTGCAGAGGCATGCTCTGTATGGATCCGATCAGTAACGCGGCCATTATCTTACCAGTTCTAGGCTCTTTAAAGGTCCTCGGTTCCCTCGTAGGATTACGCACGCTCACAATGAAGGATCTGACCGGATCGGCGTCGGAGTCGGTCTCCGTAGCGAGATGATTCTCTTCGCCGACTGAGTCGATTTTGTCGCGAAGATTCTGAATCTGTCTGGAGAGCCGATTGGACTTGGGCGATTGTTTTTTGGTGTCTTCCACCGGCATCAGCATGGTGCGCAGAGATCTCACCGTCTCGTCGATCATATATTCCGGTGGAGTAAAGTCAGAACCGCCGAAGGTTCTCAAGCTCAGGGTGCTCAAAGTGTTGGAGCGGAAGAAGGGAATTCGTTTGGCACGTTTTCTTCGCATCGCGCCGTAACTGGGAATCTCCAAGCGCGTTAGTGACGATGAAGACTTGGCGTGAGAGAAACGCGCGGGTCGCGTCGGTATGCGTAAGGGGTAAGATGCGGGACTAGGAATGAACAGCGCGCTGTCGTCGGCTTCTGAACGTTCCGTTTGCATTTTAGTGCGTGAAGGAAGCGCGAGCGCGATCCTACACAAACGCATGCAAATGGGAAAGACAGAAAAATATATCTATTAATTTTCGTATGCCGCAATTATGAAAGCTCGTTATAAACGCGAATTAACTCTTATTTCTTTCATTTCGCACGATCGAATTCTATTGCACAATAACTGCGCGTATCATGCCCTTAGAGGATTTTCCAGGGACAAATAAATTGCCTCTCCTTGCTCTCTCTTAGAAAAGCGTGAACGATATACGGGCGGTCAATTCGCTTTGAATGTCCGGAACAGCGATTTCAAGGATATTTTCTAAGAGAGAATACGGGAAAGAAATTGATACGTATTGCACAAAGAAATTAGATAATCGATGGCGCTATGCTATTCAGAATTCGATCTACCTATAATGATGCAAATGATGGAAATGTTGATGAAAGATAATCAATCCCGTTTATCTAATTGCTTAGATTAGATTAATTCGACCGATATGTCCGGATCGCGCGTGGCCATCTAACATAGCTGCGTGTTCTCACAGCAGTAAGATAAAATGCCTGTAACGATCGCATTTCCTTGTATGAAATTCTCGAAATAGCTCGTTCGCGAGAGAGCCAAGTTTATGGCCGTCTGTTATGAGAGTTGGCGACACGCTTAATTCGCGCGATGCCAGACGCAATTGCGTGGTAAGATGCCATTTATCCTAACGACCAGACACCGGCGATTTATTTAAGCGAGCCAGTCTCCCGTCCCGATAATCCATAATTGAATGCCCAGGAGTACTTACTCTTCGATGTTGACGCTATCGCAGGGGAAGCCAAGGACATCGTGCAGCTTTACGAGTGTGACTGCCGTGCCTATGCCTCTAGCGACGATACCGGACTCGCCTTCTAAGTCGAAGTTTTGCAGATATCTGATATCGGACCAGACGATAAAGTAAACGATAAATGAAAACTACAACTGATAAACTTGTATTAAAAAAGAAGAAGAACTACACACCCTATCACAGCGTTTCCACCGAGGTCCAGTGCTTTCAATCCGATCTTCCTCTGAACTTCTCCGCTTAATTTGAAAAATAGAGTCTGACGCGCTTCATTTGATGCCCTGGGAGTTCTTATTTTATCGATCCATTGATATTCTGGATCGTCACTGACTACAAGCTCCTCCACAAATCCATGTATCATCTGGGCATGATACCCGTACGGTATATTTGGTGCTGAAACATATTGAGATCTTTTTAGTAGTGTTCGTTTCTCTCGGGAATTATATGCGTTGATTAAAGACAAATGAGCTTACAATAAAAAAATTGTATTCCACAGGATGACTGTCTAAATTTGTTGAAGTCAGAGAACAACTCCACTTTGACAATAATATTCACTTCACCACGTATGCCATGCATTGTGTCATATACAGGTATCCATCCAGTCATAACTGATCCTGCAAATAAATATAAATTGTAAGAATATTCAAGAAACAATACAGAGTGTGATAAGGAAATTTCACACTACATATATAGTGCATATATTACCTTGTGAACCAGCACTAGTATTCATAGCTGCTTCCAGAGTCCAAATATTTTTTACTGGAGGTAGTATACCAGGTAGTAATAATGGATTTAGGTTTATGTAAACTTTGCCTATCGCATCATTTGCTGAATACGTATCGTGATCCATTAGTCTGATTTGCAAAGGTTCATCTTGCAGCTCTGCATCATCAACTTCAAATTTGTACCACTCAGAATTCCACTGAGGATTCAGAGATTTTCTGCATACATCTGTTTTATAAGTTGTATTGCCAAACTTTAGTTCCACATACGCATCTGTTGTATCACCAGAACGATCCATGACAGGCAGATTACGACCTGCCAATATTTTCACTTTTATTTTGCCAGGCATTGTGTCACTTTAGAATTCAATAGGCAATCTACAATAAAGTTCATTTATATATCAATAATTAGCACAGTTAAAAACACTGTCTACTCAAACTTTATATCTATTTGACAATTGCTAAGCATTAGAGTGTAATAAACATCATATCTTAGTTTGTTTTAAAGAATTTCATGCAAAGAATATAATAACTTTACAAATTTAACCAATGTACCTCAGGATATATGCGCGTGCGCGTTTACTTAAATATCACTAAAATCAGAAAAAGCTCGTCAGATATTTCTTTAATGAAGTAAAACTACGTCCTACATTTAATCCAATTGATGTTTCACAACGAGTATTTCGTCAATGATTAATTATATTTTCTCGATCGACAATCTCGCGATATCACATATCTAATTCTTTATTCTTTATATAAACTAGTAAATCACACAGTGCGAGAAAACACGGCTCCGGCAAAACGTGTGACAGCATCTGACAAATTTGTTCTGTCAGGACGGAATAATAGGTTAGATTGTCCGCTGCGATTTTACCGACAATCCATAAGTTTAACTACTGTTGCACTTTAGGTCCCATTCTTATAGATCGGTCGAATAAAATTCAAATAGAAAAGCGCTAATCTTTTATTGTTATATATTATTTTTAAAAGTTTTAAAACGTCCTAAAATATACTTTTTATAACGAAAAAATGTCCGTTCATGTATTTTCGGGTAATTTTATTTTTGCCTCGCATCGATAACAGGTCACATTGATGAATACAGACGAGTAGTCGAATATATTACAATACGTTAAGGAACACCGCATAAGCGAAATTTCTCTTTTAAGACATCTGCAATATATGACATGTTCTTTCAGTACATATACAATATATGTAACTAGCTTGACGATCTATCAAGCCATAACACAGATATAATACAATTAAAATACTAGTATAATACAAAAAAAAATAAATAAACTTACATCGCTCTACTCATATTCATAATTTATGAACAAAATAATACAACGTGTATGACAAGCGACAGCTGGCATACATCCTAATAACAAATCACATAATCGACTTATTATTTTAATTGGTACTATATATAAATAAAAAGTAGTAATAAATACAATTCGCATTACACGCTGTCTCTAATTATCGTTGTAATTTTTCTTTAATCCGTAGTAGAATAAATATATCTCAAGCAATAATTCTGGAATGATCTTTTGTTGAAACATGCCGAAGAATAGCGGGGTGTGTTATCGACAATTATTGACTATATCGGCTGTCCTTATAACTATTACATCTTACTGTCCTTACATCGCATCACTATCCATGATTTACGAGGAATACAGTGGATATTGAATATGTGCACGGTAATTAATTGCATACAATATACATGTGCAATTGAGAATGCACTCAACAATAAATACACAGCATCATATACGAGAATTTAACAAGTTTATCTTTTCATATATATATATATATGTATATATAGCTATATTATTGCTATTTGACAATTAATAGTAGAGACGTAAAATTCCCGCGATAATCCTGATTATCAAACATTGTTCCAGAGCAACATTGTACATTCAAGATATTGATATTTTTCAACGTCCCTCCCATATTAAAAGAAAGTATATTATGTAATATACAACTACAGAAGTACATTCAGTTTGCTATTTACGACTACCATCATCGTCGCCTCGCGTTTAATCTCCGTGATACGAATCTTCTTTTCTTATATGTGCTATAATTGAGATTATAATTTAGAAAAGCACACGAAGAATTTGCTAAATCGGTGGTAAGCGACGTTGGTGCAATCTCTGCAACAGCTAATGTAAGTACTGCACTTACAGTCCTTCGCTATAAATATTTTTCTCATCTTCTTAACCGTGTATTGAAGATACATAAGGCATATAAGGAAGAAATGCACTTGACAGAATGCAACAGACGATCCTTACGCTAAAATCAGGTATTGCGTTTGTTATCCCAAACACTTCCGCCCTTATACATGTTCCCGTAATAACTGTACAATGGTACACTATTATTCAACAATCGGATATTCAATCGAATCGCAGCAAACCATTATTTCGAGATGCGTGCATATACAAGCCTAACAAATTGGCCTATTAAGCCCTTAAAAGATATAATGCAAGGAATCTGCTCCTTCAGATTTGCTATTATTGCGATTAAATTGTATTGAAACTAGATCGAGACACTTATTACACGAAGAACGAATTATCTCGATATTTCCTTCTCAAATTTCGCTTACAAGACCAATAACAGTCGTCTAGATTTAGGTGTCTACTATGGCGTGGTCTGCATTTGTATCTCAAAATATGGAGTTAATACGCATTTTTGGATATGCACCACAATGGAAGCTAGTGTTATCTTCTACTTATTACGGTAATTTATCGTGACACAAAGGTTCTAGTGTCATTGACTACGTCTCATTCAACGTCTATACCTATGTAAATTACTACAATCCGAGAATGCGTTCGTTTCTCGAGCGGATCCGATCAGAATCGCTTGGATCTGACAGCGCTAAAAACGCAAAACGAATGGATGAATATACACAGGGTTTAGAAGTGCTCGCGATTTCTCTGTATCTACGCTGTCAAAACTAACGCAACTCGAAATGGAATACTTCTTATTCTAGGCCGCCTTCTTCTTCCAGCTTCGATAAGAATTTCGGGAGCCTGTAAGCCGATTCCACTTGACGTGCCATGTCTATCAGATATAGCAATTTCTTAATACCGATGAAGATGCTGTAATAATAATAGTAAGTCAGTCGAATGATTAACTGCGCAACATGAAATATCTGTAATAAAAATATCTCCCTTATCTTTAACATATATCTTTATATTTTCCTCAAATATCGGCCTTAAAAAAAATATATATATACATTCCTAAAATTCGATAAAGTTATTGCAAAGTAAGATAGCTTGTACATTACCGTTTTCCTTGAAGTTTGGCGTGCAAAGAAGCCATTTCGTGCTTCGAAAAGAGATCAACTTCTTCCAAAACTCTCAACAGATGATCAGGCATTGATAAATTAGGCACGTGAAGAATGGTATTAAATGCTGAGAGTATTTCCAGCTCGTCTAAAACTTGTCTGCAAAGTAAATATATTTTCAGATAAGTGGTACAATCAGTTTTGTAACTTTGGTTGTACATGACTATAAAAATAGAAATTCCTTATGCCTACCTGCGACTAGAAGTGCATAGAATCAACAATTTACGGCCAGGCGGTGGTGATTTCTTCAACAGCAGCAGAAGTGCTTGCAACGTTAGATTAGAGTATCTTGGTCCAATCGGGCCGTAATCCAACAGTCGTTCTATATTATCGACTAAGATGCAACTGAGTTGTGAACGGTATGCATCGTCGAATACCTAAAATGCATAAATACATCGCATAAATTATTAGTACAATTGTTTTAAACATTAAATTAAGTGCAAGCTAATTATATTTTGAATATCATATATTAAATACAAGCGATCATTTTACAGATGTATTGTAAGCAAATCAGATAAAAATTAAGTGTTATATAAACAAGACAATTACCTTCCGTATGGAAAGACATTTCGCAGATTCAATATAACCGACCATATCCTCAGGTGTACACACTTTGACGAATGGAAAGTCTGAATTCTTTGCGATTTGCGCAGCCAGCGCAGTTTTCCCGCTATTCGGTGGGCCTTCTAAGAGAACAGATACAAGTCCTGATCCTTCGGTCGCGCGAGCTTGTTGAATGCACAGACTACCATCAGCGAGGATATCAGCCACTGGTCTACCCCAGTTGATAATTCCGCGTATCAGTAATTGAGTCAATGCCTCAGCACTCGTACCAAACGCCTGAAAGATGCGCGAGTTCAGTGTTTAGCCGACAAGGGAAAATTTTACGCCTGTCAGAAACGTAATAAGCAATTTTCAAGCTTACTGGCTTAACATCATGTTCTAATGCATGGAAGAAGTCACTCTTAGTGACCATCAGTTTTTCCATTGCGGCTGGATCCACCTCTACCTTGCTGGCAGCTTTAATTAGACGATTCATAGCAGTGCTTTGCGCAGCTCTGACTAGACCTTCTAATTCCGCGCCGCTGAAGTTCTTCGTTAACGTCGCCAACTCTTTCAAGTCCACATCGGACGAAATTTTCTTGTAATCTCTCATTCGCGATGTATGAATATTAAGAATCTGATGCCGTCCATGTTCGTCTGGTAAGCTGATCTCCATTTGCAGCTTTAAGTATAAAAAAAACCGGACTACATTTAAAATGCAAAGTTATATTATATAGTTGAATATATTCTTAAATAAATTCAGTTTACCTCCAATCTACCAGGTCTCAATAAAGCTTCGTCGATCATATCTCGCCTGTTAGTCATGCCAATAATAAGAATATTATTTAATTGTTCAACACCATCAATCTTTGCCAGCAGCTGATTCACCACAGTATCGTGCACTCCTGTGTTTCCGGCGACGCTACCTCGAGACTTACAAATAGCATCTATTTCATCAAATATAATTATGTGAAGTCCACTGTTTGGTCCAAGCTAAAAATAAGGATTCGTTTTATCCCCTTTTCTTATATATACGTAAAAATACAATCTTAATATTTGCATATCATATTTAAATGATAAAATTGTTGAGTTATCTACCCTCTTTTCTTCCTCTTCCGCATCAGCAAACAATCTTCTGATATTAGCTTCACTCTCTCCAACATATTTATCCAAAATTTGTGGACCGTTTACAATTTTTGGTTCTCGGGCATTTAACATTGTTCCTATCTGACGAGCCATTAGTGTTTTGCCCGTACCAGGCGGTCCATACAGCAAGATGCCTTTTACGTGCTTGCAACCCATCTGAGTGACAACTTCTGTTGGGAAAACACGGGATGCAAACGCTCTGCGAAAAATGGCGCTGAACTCCTTGTCCAAACCACCAATGCCCATTTTCTGAAAGTCCCAATCCGGGTTGATGATTGCCTGACGAACAGCTTTTCCTTTAGCTTGTCCGACAAGATTCAGACTGGAATTTTCAGCTTTCTCAAATTGTATTATAGTATCACCCAAGCATCGACCCAGTCTGGTCTTCTTGGGCACAGTGTTCTGTCCTGAACTAATGGCCGATAGGTCAGCAGCCTCCAAACTTTTGACAACTAATCCAAGCAGTTTTTTGTCTTTAAACTGAAATGCCAGCTGCTGACCCACGGTGAATGCCTGGCCTGAAAACTGTAGCAGAAAATCCTTGGCCATTTCATCTGTGTTGTATGGGTCCAAAGTAACGCTGGAATAATAACATAAAAATAGTTAAAAATAGTTTACAATGTAATACTCATATACTAGTCATATATTAAATATTTCATAAACTGTCCATAGCAGATTCTTAATTGTTATATCACATAATATATAAATTATCCAAAATATATACGTCTTTTTCTGCAGGAAATCAGCTTCCAAAACAATATTACACAAACATTCTGTGTTAGAAGTTGGATCAAAGTTATATGGTCGAACTTCAATCTCTTGGTTAAGCGACAATGTTGCCCATTTTCGCTGTGGTAAGCTAAAACCGACTGTACAACGAGGTATCTCATGGTGTGTTCTTACAGTGAACACAAAGTGATAATTTGGTGCAGTAGTTACTTCAATATGCCTGCAACAGATATTAAAATATAAGTATTTCAATGAATGTATGTATATACTGATATAAAATTTAATGTCATATTCTATAGATATATAGGATGCATGTATATCTGATAAATTCATATGTATCCTTGAGAAATTTTAAAATATGATAAAAATAAAACAATAACGGTTTAATCAATAACATATCCATTCCCTTTTTATAATTTCATTGCTGTTACAATTATTTTTATTTTACTACTGTAAAACACTAGTGGGAATAAATGTATCCACACAGACAATACATATGGATTTGCAGATTGATCTGATCTTGACGTAGTTCAGTTTGCATCATTGAATACAACAAAACAACGTGATGTCGCGAGGTATTTTTACCTGACATCACCAGGGAAATCATCGGCGTTGATAATAGCGCAATTGGAGAGGGTGAGCTCATCCGTAGGACACCTCACTGCTTTCATCCGCTGAAGCAGACAGAATTGTCACATTTTATGCAAGATGATGACGCGTGGAAAAGGTTTACGAAGGCGAGTATTGATGTGATTTCAACGCGAAAAGGGAGGGATAGAACAGCATGTGATTTATATAAAAAATATTCTCGTCCATCATCGTAAATCGATCAGAGAATGCGGGAAGAAATCGCATTTTCGCGGGCGGATACGCAGGACGAGAATCGTAGGCAATTTAATGATTTTCGTTCGCGCAACAACGTATACTCACCATCGCTGACATTTTTTTGACGGCAACGAGCGAATACTGGTCACGGTGGGATACAGTGGCGCAACTCCGTATCGGTGGCTTTGATATTGATGAAAGGCGAGTTACTCACGATCATGCGCAAGCGAAGGCAAATGGTCGGTAATATAAATCACATCGTAGGTACGCTACTTTACTTGCAGTACATAATATTCCACTGCATAACGTTTATAAATGCAGTTATCTAAAAGCATAAGACTTATATATTCTGAACTCTCTTTTATTGCTAAAAATGACTCTAAAAATGGCTTATAGGTCTTCTGATTGACTATAAGCCACTTTTAGATATTTTTTTAGCGATAAAAGAGAGTTCAGAATATAGGCCTAAGTAAAAAAGGTATTTCATTTAAATTTCTAATGATCAACTACATCACTTAAAATATTCAAAATCATCAATTAATGAATGAATTAGTGACATTATAAGCGGTGTTTGTAGAAAGCATTCAGCCGCACTATTTAAAAATAAAGAGCTCGTTTAACATACTATTGAGTCATGATATTTATGGATAAAACTGACTTCTGACCTTTGAGTTAATAACGTATATGCACAGACCAAGCATTCGTATATTTCTGCTATAGCAGAAAGTGCATCTGACACATTGGCAGTATAAAACAGAAAAAGTTGAATTGTCTTTAATAATATTTTCGCACTCTATTCTATAGACTGTTAAGAGCAATATCCCGTTATAATCTTTTCTATTTAAAAATAGAAAATTTGACAATATTTTTATACCTTTCTTATTTGATTTATAAATTATAATTTGTTGAACAACTACAAAATAAAATCGATACACAATTATGGATAAAATGTTTGGTTTATGTATATACGTATTGTGTGTTTGTATACTTGTTAAGTTCTGCCAATGTTTCAAAATATAAAGGAAAAGTGTTTCTGACTCACTGTTAAATCTATCACTACCTCAATTGTTCTATCATTACCTTAAATTTATCACTACCTCGGTAGATCGTGTGTATGGTGGCGGCTCGTAGCGGAGATTTCAGAACTAATTTTACAGAAATAACGAGTCTAATAATCGATACACACTTTAGGTGCGTTCCGAAATTTACTAGCTGCGTTCGGCATTATAAATCGAAGACGACGGATTGCTTTTTCATCTCGAAGATGCATAGAAATGAAAAAGATACGAGATCTCTCTGACTCTGTGTATTTTCGAAATAAAAGAGCAATCCGACGTCTTCGATTTACAATGCCGAACGCAGCTACTGGATGCTTTTCAATTGCTTAACCATCTTGACACAAACGTACACAAAACCAGTTTATTGGTTACATATTATCTAAAATATCTTGTAAGATAATATGCAACCAATAAACTGGTTTTATGTAACATAATGTACGCAACTGAAAAACACCCACTGTCAGTACTGAAAATCATAGTTCATGTTATGTATACTATAGAATTTCAGCCTGCAGTTGGCAATGGGCCTAGCCCGAAAATATGGCCCATATTTTGAATCCTCTTTTATCTATAAAAGTGCCTCTAAAAGAGGTTTAGAAGCCATCTGATTGGCTGAGAAGCTACATTTAAGGCACTTTTATCGATAAAAGGATTCAGAATATGGGCCTGTACGTCGATGAGTATTATATATATGCATCGAGAGACGTTTGGTGGTGAGGCTATCTTTTGATCTGTTCTTTTCAGCTAATTGCTGAACTGGTGCAATAAGTTAAAGTGAGACAAGTTGAATTTCGGAACGCAGTTTTTAGACCCGTTATTTTTTCTAAAATTAGTTCCGAAGCTCCACTACGAGCCGTCACATACATATCGACCAATCGAGATAGTGATAAATTTAAGGTAATGATAGAACAATTGAGATAGTGGTAGGTTTAACAATGTGTTAGATGCAAAGAAGTTGGAAAATTTGTTGTCAACGTAAGGCTTGATTGAATTTGAAGATGTGAAGATAATTAATTTCTTAAGAAGAAAGAATCGCATATCGATTGATCGAATGTCACTATCGTAATTTGTTGGTTATGAATCGAATAGTGCGGGGGCGTAGCTTGGGCTATATATTGGAGGAATCAATATTGAGAGAGAGAGAGATATATATTGGAGGTTATGGGCATTCCTGGTATAACCGCCGTAAACTAATATAAAGACGTGTTCGAACGAGATCTGTGATTTTCTGAAAAATACCTTGAAATTATTTCTAACGAACATCAAGGATTATTTATTAAGAAGAATGGCGGAGAATGACATTGCCAAATTAACATGATATACATTCTTTAACGTTGAGTGAGAGATTGGTTATGAATGTCCACGTGCAAACGGTTGTGTCGTGTGAATATACAAAATTAGCCTCGTCATTTGTGTATCATTCACACTGTATTTGGTGTGATATATTATCAAGTGTTTCTTGATTGTGGTAAATTAATTGTAAAGACACATTAACAATGGCAAGTGAAGAAGATAGTTCTTTTATTACTGCACCTAGCTTCTGTCCTGATTGCGGCTCGATTCTACCTTTGCTTGGTGAGAAAGGAGGAGTTACATGTTATGCTTGCACAAAAGAATGGGGTCCTGAAGGTATATTTCATTTAAAAGAAGCGATAGCTTAAAAAATTTTATGATAATATACTATCCTATGATTTTTTTTATGTATTGAAATTAAGCTAACATTAACAATGTATAATCCATCAAGATGTACAATTGCTTTTATTTTTCAGTTTTTGGTGATATGGCAATGACAGTTACACTTCATTTTAAATCTAAAGATACTTATGAATCTGCAAAAAAAACAGATAACGTTAAAGACCATGCAGATGGACCAGTTGTAGAGCGACGATGTCCTCAATGTCAAAATGATAAAATGTCATATGCTACTTTGCAATTAAGATCTGCTGATGAAGGACAAACAGTATTTTATACATGTACCAAGTGCAAGTACGTTTCTGTTCATAGCAATGTTATTATTTACATAGAAGCATATGTTATCCATGTATTAAATTTTCTCTCTTTTAATATAAAATTGAATAACTAAATTGATTTTTTTCATTTGCAGATACAAGGAAACTGAGAATTCTTGATTTCTCAATTTTAAATTGTATATACAATTGTACATTGTATATGCAGCTTTATCTCAAATGTTTTATCATAATAGATGATTTTATCAGATTTTTTCAATGACATATTCAATTGTATTTCATTTGAATGAACATGTATTTGGTTACTTTTATAAGAAAATAGCTAAAAGTATTAATTAGATATGAAACCTCCTTAATAAAACATAGAGCTTTATTTATAATACACTCAACAAATAGTGGTGAAGAGGGTACATCCGTCTTAATTTTATAATTCTACTAGGTCGTCATTACTGTATTTTTCCTTCTAACAATGCTTCGTTACCTTAGTTCAATTAAGTGTTCAATTAAGTAATTCTGTATGTACAATGCGCGCGTGTCGGGATAAAAGTTAACAATTATTTTAATAAATTCATCTTGATCCACTCTCGAAATTGTTATAGTGGTCCTTGTGTTATAAAACTTCAATAGTTAGAGAATTTGTCGATAGTCTCTTGCTTATCCTATGTGTGTGCATTTACACATTGGCACTAATATCTGCCCATATTCTAACAATAATAAGTAGATATGCTATCTCATGTTAAGGGAAAGGATGTCAATGAACTAATTGCTGAACTTTATACGTACACACGGACATACTTAAACTACAAATACAAAATACAAATATGATATCAAGTGATATTGCATAATTGCACTTTCTTAACACTCTGGTATACCCATATCACAAGCATTATAAAATAGAGAAATGGAATGCTTAAAATACTTAAAAGGACACACTTATTTATATGTTTGGAACATGTGTATCTTCGTCCCTTTAAAAAGTGAAAATATGGGGAACCAATATAAGGGCCTTTGTAAAATCTATTTATCCTTAAAGAAACTTTGAAAGAATCGATTTTACCTTGGAATCAAGTAAGATTTTATTGTAAGGCAATCAAGAACATAGAAAATTAAAACGGTTATCTTGCTGGAAACAATCGTGCTAATAGAGTTTCGTCGGGCGGTAAGATCGACTCTAAAAGTTTTGAAGGATAATTTTATTATTAATATGTATGCATTGTATGCCACATTTAGGATATTTTTATATATTTAATTAAAATAACAAAAGGATTAATATCTCTTCAACAACGGCATTATCAAACGATGCTCTTATTTTCCGAATATTATATATCTGACAGCATATAGTACGTTTTTATAAAAAAACATGCCTTTTAATATGTTCATTATCATAACCTTCTGTTATTATACGTTTTTGTCTTTGTACATGTTATTTTTATAGTGTATATCACTCTTAAAATGTGCAATGGTTTGTTTAGATAACAAAAATAATATGATGTCGCCTAACTATGAATTGTTTACAAAACATTGCTTTTACGTACATCATCATCGATCTTCAGAGTAGAAATCGGTTGCTGCTTTTATACTGCGTTTCTCATGTTATTTTCGAAATTATGAATATCACAACAATCGATCTTACAAGACGGTGCGTCACGTTGTGAAAATGTACAACTCTTTAGCTCTAAACATATTCCAAAAATTAATCCGTTCAGAAAACCCCGCTTTCTTTTGTGTGCAATTTGAATTTTTACATATTATTGGTTGATTACATTACAACATCGGCGGATGTTGTAGAATTTAATCGATTGTACTTACACAATATCCTTAGTTTGCCAAAGCTTTGAGTAGTACAACAGTATAATTATTTAGTAATAGTAATTGTTAATATCATATGTTAGATTAATCAATATTAAAATGTTCTTTAGTATACGTAAGAATTTTTATTTTTACTGAGTATTCCAGAGCCTTAAGATAACATATATGAGTTCAGAAAATTCATCCTATAGTGTCAAAATCAGGGTTTTTAGCACATTAACTGTAAATCCAATATCGAAAGTTTGACTTTCGTATTGTAAACGCTTGAGAAATATATTTCAAATACGAATAGGAATAGTTTTATTTTACATGTCGTGTTCAGTAGGCCGTAATAATTGTTATATTTCGGAACGTCGTCGGTGGAAATCTTATTGTCGGACAGTATACGCGTTGCAATACTGTACAGTGTATATTTAAATTTTCTTAATTTTCTCGTCAAGATACTCAATAATTGATAAATTACTTATGGACAAAGCATTCGTGTTTTATAGAATACTGTAAATATTACTCAATATATTGTTTTTATTAAGAATATTTCAAAATAAATCCCCCTAAGTTTTTCGAAGCGTTTTGAAATAAAAAGTATTTCCCTATTACTTTTCCAAGTTATATAATGCTATCGTTATTTGAAAGAAATGCTTTTTGAATATGTATGATATTGAATATCTCTTTGTACAAATACTAAAAAGTCTAATGTCTAGAAATACTAAAAAGTCTAATGTCTAATGACTGAACTCATATATGTGAATATTCTCCGATGTGTCCAAGAAGCTGCGCGGATACAGTAACAAAGAATTGAACAAATCCATATATACTACTAGAACGTGTTATCTCAGATGGTCAAACATGTTCAATTAACTTACTCTAAGACAATCATAAAAGTTCGCAAAACTGATAAGCATATATGCGACCATGATCGTTTCGAATATTTCTACTACATTTTATGCAGTTCAAAAGATCAATTTCCTTGGGGAACTTTGTTTCGAGTACATAATAATGCCAACATAAAATTAAGACCTACAGAGATTTCATCACGATAAAAGGTATCATCTTATATATTCATCATGACTCAAACTTAATATCGTCTCTAGTTCGATCGGTCTATTTGACCATCCGGAGAGAACAACCAGTTAGCGTGCCGATGGGACATTCGAGCACGTCGAGCATGGGACAGAAAGCAGCCCGCGCGAACAAATGTGAACTGCAACGAGATACCGAAATACATTTCTAGTACTTTGTGGGGTCTCGACAGCGAAGCGACGGGGCCCCGTCGTCGTTAGGCCTTTAATGCACCGTTTGATCGGGTTATCTTAGAAAATGTATCAAAGATGTTTTTCTCACAGACTTGCCCTGCGCGGTTTTGCGACGATTGGCGACCTAATCGTTCTACCATCTCGCGTTTACCAGCCGCGTTTTTTCAACCGGTTCCCTCCGCGATCTCCTGCCGCTATGTACACTAAACGCTCATATTACATATCGTACATAAACTATGTACACGTGATAGAGTATTTACATGTGTGTAAATGAGGCAGGTGGTATACAACGTCTAGATTGTCATCACTATTCCGTGCTCCGATCATGACGACGTCTGAAAACACTCGTCCAAGAAGTTCTCCAGCGAGTGGTACAGGTGCGTCCGCGACTTGTCGATGCCGTGATCCTCGTCTGTGTAAGTCTGCGAAGCAATTTGCATAGTGATCACATTTACTTGATTATCGGGCTTAGCGGCGAAAGAGATTCCGAAGCGAGAAAACGAAAACGTCGATATCGGGGACGTACCTGCTGTCTGAAGAGAATGTCCTTCTGCTCCAAGACCTTCGCGAGCATGAGCGATTGCTGATAATGCACGTTGTCGTCTAAAGTTCCGTGTATCAAATAGTACATCTTGTTCTTAATGTTCTCGACTTTGTTGAGCAACTGACCCTGCTCGTAGCCCCGCAGATTATCAGTGAAGGTCGGCAAGCCCATGAAACGCTCCGTATAAATCGAATCTGCAAGGAAACAATTATTACGGCTGCATCAACGAAAGCGAGACGCACGCGGTGTCTTCGGCAAGGAACAGCCCGCTCGTCCTGCATCGTGCTGTTATACTGCGCGAGGAACATTTTATGTGGAAACTGCACAAGTGTCACACGCTCCGCATAAGTCTTTTTAATACCGTCCTGTAAATCACGCGTATTTTTCTCGCGCGCTTTAATGAAAGTAACGCTGACATGAATTTAAAGTGGCTGAAGAAGTCACGTTAAAGCTGAGGTAGCGCGCACCTTTTCGGAGCAAAGTACCGTGCTCTTCATTAAAACTCCGACACGCGGGAAATTCTCAGACAAATCGTGTAAGACCAAATGAGCTTAACGTACGTCTCATTATAAATCGCGATCTCTGAAAACGAACTCTTTCTCGATGACGTCTATTTGCAGCAAAAAATCGAGCACGAGAGAAAGAGAAAAAGTATTAAGTGAGTAGGGTCTCTTGGCAAAATAATTTTAAATCAAATATTGCCCCGAAACGCAAATTGTTGTGACGATAATCTCTAAATCGCTCTATTTCCTTGAACAAGTCAACGTTTATGCACGTACCGTAAAGAGCCCAATCTGTAACAGGCGCGACGGACATGCCGCACTTGAAGACACCGTCCAGGTCCATGGCGAGTGTCATGCCAGTCGCGTATCCACCGTAACTCCAACCCCATATCGCTGTTCTGGTGCGGTCGATGAACGGTAATTTGTCCTGCAAGCGTCTGCAAAAAGGAAGCGGAGAAAAAGTTGCTCATTATAAATGCTGCTCCCGCGATAGGAAATCGATGTTGTCAAAAAATGTATGCTACTGAAGATGTATACGCTCGCGCGATGAAATATCTGGGTACGATGGTTTAGATGTGCGTCGATGATGTTTTCAATGCAGATACTTGAGATCAGACGCTAGAACTTATGACAATGATAGAAATATGTTATCTTCAATTATTACTCGCGTCATTTAACGTAAAATAACAGTCGAGAAACACTATTTGATGACGTTTACAGAACAGGCGAAAGGAGTTCATTATACAAGGGATTTGTGTGTGATCGACATCATCTCATCGTAAATTACTTCGCCGCGAAAGGAAGGTGAAAGACGAGATCTCGTTTTCGCGGACAGAAACACCTATCTGGAAATTTTGAAGCGACATTAAAGGCGGGGTTGAGAGGAATATCTATAATGGATTCTTTTGTCTCTGTAGAACGATCGCGCTAAGGCACTACCAAATTGCCCCTCTTTTGCCGGAGATTACCGTGGCGCTCGTAAAAAGACAATCACCCTTCTCGCTAAAATGCACGGGCGGGATCGCAGTCGACCGCTTTTGCGATAAGAATCGACGACTACACTTTGTAATTTCTGTCCGCTTTTCTGCCCTCCGTTATCTCGCGTGCACTCTACGCGATCATATTATGTATGCGACCAATGTGCTTCATATTAAAGGCATATGGCACACAATCGTCTTTCACGAACCATGCATTACGCATTGCAATTCGCCGCAGCTATGCATTTGTAGCTGTCGTGAAGTTTCAGGTCTTCTAGCAGTTAATCGCCGACAATTCTGCGCTCAAAAGAATTTTCTGAAGAAATTGCGAACAATTATAATTCCCGTGAATTAAAAAAATGCAACTGAAGAAACCTTGTGTATTCGATTCTTTTTAAATTTAAAATTACTCGACGAGCCATTCGCACTCAACGCAAATATATGCGAAAATAAATCTCAGAAAGAACGCATTTCTTATACGTTTTCTCTGGATCGAATCTTCTGCGTCTTGTCTCGTGATTTCCGCCGAGCTGGACGTTCCTGCGTTCACGAAGCGGCGCGCGCTTTCCGATAGGAAGGGCGAGGGAAAAAACGAGAGAATTCGTATTTCTTCCTTCCAATCTTTTCGGGCTATTGTCTCTGGCGTCTCGTGTGTTCGATAATAATGGCCCCAGCGGGATCAGCGCCCACGCCGGGCCGGCCGGCCCGATCTCGCCCCCGTAAAAATAGTAGCAGCCCCTCGTACGGCGACGCACGGCAGATTTCGTTCCCTCCCCCGCGCTGCGAAATTTATTTACCTCGTAAATCGACCGGCGGCACGTTGAATTCTATTTCTTCCCGTAAGGAAGAGAGGCGAGTCTAGAGAGGAGCCCGGATCGAAAGGATCTCTACTCTCTTTCGTTTTGTGGCTGGCCGGTACCTATCCTCGCTCTCTTTCCTTCCTCTCTACACACATGTATGAATTTTTGTTTTTGAATATAAATTGAGCCGCGCTTACACGTGAAATCGATCCTCAAGAGCAACCGCGCCACATCTGTTAACAGCACATCGATAATGAAGTTCACTCCCATCATCCTCCAGCGTGTATCTCGGATCCGCGGTGTCATCTCGAGAATGGCCAGTTATTTCATTTATTTACCTAATCAATGAGACAAAGCGGAGAGTGTCACGAGTCCCCTTTTCCCCTTCCGGAGCGAACGTTCCGCAATCGCTCGCTCTCAAAGGATTATCACATTTATGAAGGGCGCAATCACCGTTCCCCAAGGTCTCCAGATTTTGACAACGGTCACATGACATTTGTTGTCCCGTGATTAATTCCGGTGGTGGGAATCCACCAGCGGGGAGCAACGGCGACAGGCTGGTGGTTAGTCGGCTTGGTTAACCGGTTCGATGACGGAACAAAGGCTGGCGCAAGAAGCAGATAGAACGTGCGGTCTCGCGAAGGGGTTGTTGGCGCATAGGATAAGGGTGCAGGGAATTCGCGAGAGAGGCGAACAGGAGGAAGGAACCGGGCGGCAACGACTGAGAGAAAGAGAAAGAAGGAGGGGGGGGGGGGAGAGAGAGAGAGAGAGAGAGAGAATGGAGGGCTGACAGAAGGGAGAAGAGGGGAAAGAGAGAGATCGCACGATAAACCGTAGGTCGAAGAGAGCCGGACGATTCCGCAATCGTTTGGCCCGCTTCCAACGCTGCGACTCGCTTTTTACGGGCTGGACGCCATGCGATGCACCGGTAAAACACTGTGGCGGTAGATACGGGGAAACGCGGGGATAAAATACACCGATCACGCGTTTGCCTCTCGCGAGCGAATATCCGTGTGCTTACAGTGTGGCGAAACGAAGCGCGCTGCGATAGAGGGTGCGAAAGAAGGAGGAAGAGCGGTAGGGAGAAAGGAGGGAGAGACAGAGAGAGAAACAGAAATACCATCAGCCGCGCGTTGCCGATTCAACGTTTGTTTTAAACATCGCCGCGAGTATCGTCGCCTCTGTTGTCCCATCACTGGACACTGGGCACTTTCCTCTCCGATTCGTCGTTGCTTAATTAACTGAATTCCTCCCGGTGATTTCGGCGTGGAGATTACGGCACGGTTTCATCATCGGCCTACGCGGACGTCGGCGAGTTTGCGGCTTCGCAGCTGCCGGCGTGTTGTCGCTTAAAAGGTAAAATATCGTTTTGTCGGCGGGGAATGAGCGTTATTCATCATGGCCGGAAGTTTGATGTTTCGGTTTAAAGATGGACGAGCATATAAGTGGTGAACTCTCGCTACCGGCCCGTTCTCCTTCCACCACCCCATCGAGATAAATCGCTCACGGCAGCCGGTGAAAATACGAGAGAGAAGAGAGTCTGGGCGGCTCTTCGCCAGCAACGCGCCACCGAGCTGCTCTCGACGCGAGCGCTGAGAGAGAGGAAGAGAGAAGGAGAAGAGGTACAGCCGATAAATTCAGATAAAAGTACGAGCAATTTTCTTCTTGTTAACGCGGTGGACTCTCCCTCTCTCTTTCTCTCTCGGACTACCCGCGCTGAGAAAAGAACTTCATTAAACGCAGAGCGAACCTCGCGCGCTCGTGGACGCGCCGGGGGGAGGAAACCGGAGAGTTAGATTAGTTAAGTTGGGGTTTAGCGGATTACCCGATCGCACGATAAGTCACTTTGGGCGCGGCAAGGCCTCGCCTATAATTAGGTTTGTCCTAAAGCGAAACTTTGCTCGCTGCTTTCAGAGGACGACGCGGCGATGCCGCAGCAGTCGCTCGCTCGGTCTCGAATTTGTCCACGACGATTCGCGCCCTCATCTCTCTTTCGTTACACCGTCGTCGGTAGTTTATCCTGACAGGGCAGACGCCCGTCTTGGAGGTGGTCTCAGGCTGGTAAACGTGTCGCGTTCGCTATGAGTGTAAACGAGTGCGCGCCTTGATCTTCAGACGGTGGGAATACGATCGCGCTTAAGCTTGGATCTTCGTTGGGAGCTCGCGAGATTCACGGGGGATTCGCGCCGAGCGAGTTTAGAAGGGTGCCGGTCGTTACAAGAGAGATTTACACGAGACGATCTCGGGCCGAGTTCCGTTAAATTTGAGATATTTTGGCTATTCGAGATGGAGTTGAAACTCTCGCCAGAATTGGAAGATTATGTCTGTGTTACTAGCTCGATAGCGCAATCAATCTTTTTGTCCTTTTTTTATAGGAAGTTAATTTGCATTTTAGTAACTTTCAGGGAACAGTTTCCGAAATGGAAGATTTAATTCAAAATTACTCCCGGCAAGGAAAAAGAGAAAGCAAGATAATCACCTAGTGATGTTGATTTGATCGATGATCTCGACGGTGCCGAGACGTCGATATCCAGCGAACAGCATGTCGTTACCCATTAAACCAGAGCCGCGGCCATCAATGACGGTGTGTATGATACTTTTGTTCGTTACGAGACACGTGCCCCAGCCGACGTTAAATTTTTCCGTCACCAGATTCGAGTCAGGGCCACCATATCTGAAAGACAGAGAAATCGCATGAGACATGTCAGTTAACAAGGTATCACACGTCGCGATATTTTCATCACGTTTATTTCATGTTTATTTGCAATTTCGCATCTATATATATTCTTATTCATGTTACACAATGTGAGCTTTATTTCTTAATGTCGATTTGAATCTGGGATAGAAGAAAGAATCTGCAGTAGCAGAGATACGATCTAAATTTCTTAAGTCGAAGAGAAAGAGAGAGAGAGATGCGGAATTTAAATGAATCCTCTGCAACATTTGCTTGGCCTGAATCGGCCTTTTGGTCGGTTAAAAATCCTAATGCTGCCACTGCAGCGGACTTGGCGAAAGTATCCGGCATCTTCCGACTGTTTAGCCAGCAATTCTCCCAGCTCTCGCGCTCATTACCGCTCTCCAACGATCGTTTGCGAGAAATCTTGGTGCTACTTGAGGGATTCCTTCGCGAGAGGTTCCGCGAGAAGGGAGTGCAAAGAGGTCAAGTGGTGTCAAACGGTGCCGGGAATTAGGAAATGGAGGTTCGAGGACGAAGATGGCTTTTCTGATACGACATTTTCCAGGTAAAGTCGCCGACACCGCGACGCGAAAGTAGAGACGGACAGTAACTATCCCGCTGTATGACGATATAAATATTAGGATATTCTCAGAAACGCGCGAAAGACAACGTGTTACACGTCGTCGCGGCATCGCGGCGGAAACAGAGAAACGCAATGACGAGCTCGCCGACCCGAAAAAATACGGGAACATCCATTTCATGACGTAAAATTAGATCATTGATTTTGCGGAGTGCTTAACGTTAGTCGTTAATTTGAACAAAAGCAGCCGTATCATCATCGAACATCGCGGTCGACGATTGGGAATTTCAGCGGAAAGCGGAGGGAACGAGCCGTTGCTCGAGTGTCTGTGAAAACTCCGCGCGATCCAATATACCGTTTCAAACGCAACGACAATACGATTACTCGACTATAAAACAAGTGGTGGAAATTCAAACTTCTCTTTATCTGCCGTCGTCAAACGAGGAGGGAGACGCATCTATTCTGGCAACGGCAATAATTATTCCGCGTGTTTGCACTTCGGTCGCTTGATTCTTCCGTTATTTCGCGTGTTTGCAGTCAGTCCACGTTTCACGGTAATGCGAATTTGTGCGACGTAGCGGTATTTGAATTGATAGGGACAAATAATCGTGAATCGTCATGTTCGCCGAGAAAAGCTCTCAGTACTCTTGAGAGTTAAAATTACGGTTTCTGATAGCCTTAGCCCAGACCTATCATGTGATGCTTTTTGCTTCCTATTTCTTTTTCTTTGTCTTTTCTTCCCTTAAACCTTTATGTTTTAAACCAGAAGAGGGACAGAGAACAAGAAACAGGAAGCGAAGAACGCACTGTAGGTTAGACTTTAAGCAACAAGAACGCACTGTAGGTTAGACTTTAAGCAACAAGATAAGAAAATAAAGGGCAATGAGCTGCTGCGACGATTGCGTTACGTTTTTTCTTCTGACCGTAGGTGTAAACAGCGCAAAGCTTCTACTTCGGGGATGGTCATCATGTGTAATTTTCATCATAAGCTCGCTATACTTGCAAAAGTTCGAGCCCGGCCAGTACCGCCTACAAATTAGATGTTATTAGGATTTACGCCATGAAGTTATATCGGTGTCGAGCGTCGTACTCGCCAACGCCATCTCCGCATACATGTCCCTCTCTCTAAAAACGTAGAAAACATGGAAAGCTCATTCTGCTAATTTTTTAAGACAATGACTAATAGCCTCCGACGAATCAACGACTACTTGGAAAAGAAGATTCGCGTGCAAACACGACCGAAATGAATAAGTAATTTCCACACTCTTTACACTGAGGAAAAAATGTTTGGTATTTTGGTAATCGCATAGAGAAGTAATTATTATAAATTATGTATGACTAAGAAAACAATTTTCTTATTAAATTCTATAATGTTAGTGACAATAACCTTATATGCATATTACTACTGCTAATTTCGTGTTAGAACGACAAAAAAAAATGGAGCTGAAAATAATTATTAATTCTAGTTATTAGATAAATTATTTTTTTCTCAGTGAGTTAGATAAATTATTTTTTTCTCAGTGTATACTCGTTGCATTAAAAGAGCTTGAATTGTGCAAAAACTCAAAGACTAAAAAAAAAGCGGAAGAAAAAGAAGAAAAATTGGTGGAAATATCAAGACGAGCGCGAATAAATCTACGTTGGGACACGTTTAGCTCGCATTAGCTTTCCGTTTTCTTTAGAACGGAATAGTTTGATTCCGCTTCGGCAATCTTTTCATTAATATAGTTAGAAATATGACCGTACGCGTGGGCGGGAGATCGATAATGTTCCGCTTTTATCGGGAAAGCCATTGAAGTTCTCGCCGGTAAGACTGAATACGGAATGACTCATCGTTTCGCGGTTTTACATCTCGCCCTAATTCAGGCCACGTAAAGAAGAGCTTCGTTTTCACGTCACGCTGCAGATTGCGTTCCGTTGCTGCACGTTCGTCACAGCTCTCTCCATTACGCTTATCTCGCGAGTGCATTATGACGGAACCGATTGATGATGCCCGCGGAGTGCGTTGTCACATTCCTTGTCGCGCCGGAAAATATGGATGCTTTCAAGTGAACGCCGAGATACACGCCACGCCGACAAGCGTACGTGTAAGAACTTGGTCGGTCACGGAGCGCCCGATTGTAACGCAAATGTATCCCAGACTCAGATGTTCGGTGTAATTTCGCCGAGCGTCAAAAGTTTGAGGTCGCGTGCGTTTATATTGAGAAAGAGACGGAGAACAAGAAAGAATAAGTTGGAAAAGACGAAGACAGAGTTATTCAGTGGAGAAATCAAAGAACTTACACTTCAACCAGCATGGGATACTTGGTGGCGCCGCTCAAATCAGCACCGGGTGGTATCAGGAGCCTCACCTGGGCGTTGAAGTCATCGGACACTGGGAGCTCGTATCTGTGGACGATCGGCTGCGATTTCTCAGCTATTATCTCAGCTACCGCTTCGTTATCCTCCCACACGAATAGCAATGTGGAGTTCTAAAAATAAGGAAGAGTGATGAACGTACGTAGCTGTGTTGAGCAGCATCCAGAACAGAATTTTATAGAGATTAACTCTCTCTTTCTCTCTCTCCCCTTTCTCCCCTCCTCTTTCTCTCTCTCTCTCTTTTGTACATCGGTTTGAATATACACAGAAAAAACAATTTCACTGAATTTTCTGTTACCCGAGAACCAGACGAAAAGCAACAGAAAGATTCCTATACGAGGTTTCTACGAACCGCTCTCGCTCAGTCAACTATTCTCGCAGTTACCTCAGTCGAGTTTTAATGCAACTGAATATTCAGCCGAATGTTCTCTATCATGATAACAGAGATATTATTTCTCGTCGACGAGTTTTTCGTCTTGCCTTTGTTCAGTTGCACGAATTGAAATTTTTTCCGTGTACGCGACTTTCCAACGACAAAATTACAAATTGAGAATTGTAAAAGTCAACACTAAATTTTTCTCTTATCTCTCGATATAACTCGAACATCATAAATCATTTCCTAACTCTGACGTCGCCATTACGTCGAGTGATCCTAGAGAAGCACAGGAAGGTAGAGAATAACACTGTCAACACAATCAAAAACAGCGGAAACTCGGGGAAAGTCGTAGGACGAGCGAAGAACGTTTAGCGGCTCACTTTCCGCTCTTACAATGCTCGCAACTTCGGCAACAAAGCTCTCTTTCCACAGTCAGCCGATCGGAATCGACTCGATTCGAAGGGCAACCACTTTTGCAAGTAGTTGTTCAGGGCCTTTTTTTCCAGGAACGATGGCTGGAGGGAGGTGAGGGATCGGAGGGATAAAAAAATTGCATTAGAAAGGTCGAACGAGCCAACACTGGCGGGAAGGGCGCCGCGATTGCCCACGAAGTTTCCGGTCGCGTTTTTGCACCGAGTTTACCTCCGAGTTCGCACAGCTCGGATCGCGGCAAATGTAGCGAGCAATCTGCGCTTTTGTGCGTCAAGCACTCGACGAGCGCGTTCGTATCTCTCTTCTTTTCTCTCTCTCTCTCTCTCTCTCTCTCTCTCTCTCTCTCTCTCTCTCGATGGTGAATCTCGATTTTGCATCGGCGAGCTTTTACCCGATCGCTCCTCGCGCCGAAGTTTCTTTTGCTGAATGACAGGAGGAGGTTTCCAACTTTTGTGGGAGTCCCAGCGCGCCGATCGCGATATGACTCCACGATATCGATTTTCGATTGGGACGTGGATATATTTTTTATTCGCCCGAACATATATACCGCGCCCAGGTTATGTACGGGATGGCTGCAATTTCGGACACACACTTCACATAGCGTAAGCTGATCAATTTTTGAAGAAGTTAAGAAACGACAAAAGGCGCCTGACTTACACACACACATGCGTCTCTGTAAATTTTGCAGCACTTGTTCTGGATTTTGGAAGAAAGAAACATAGAAGAGGGGAGAAGAAACTTTTGTCCGCGCACAATTGCTTTAAACTCCGAAAATTGTGCCTCAATAAGAATTACTTTCAATGGACTTTTCAGTTGTGGAAATATTTATTATAAAATATTCACAGTTCGCGAGTGACCTCCAATTTGCGAATGATATTTCTTTAATTAAAACAAAAAAGATAGAAATAAATCCCAAGGTGATCAAAGCGAAATACATGTACGGATTTTTAGCCGCACAAAAAATGAGCGTTTTTTATGACAGGGAAAGAACGCGGGAATAAAAGGGAATGTCGAAAAGTGAACGCAATTAACGGATAACACTTTGCGCCTTTTGTAAATGCCGATAATTGCCGTTCTCATAATATCGACATAATTGGACTGCTGCGGCGTGTGCGATGACATCAAAGCGCAATGAAGATCAAAAAAGGGATTCCAGCAGAAATTTGACAAAGCACTTTGTGATGCAACTGCAAACACGTGCCTGTAAAATATTCGCGCAAAACAGGTTATTCTATTATTCTATCACGTAAAACGAATTTCGTTCTACCATGCCGCAAAAAAATCGAAGATACGCAATTTTCACTGCGTTTCCTTATTCAGCCCTGAATATATCCTGCAATGTGACACATCCACAGTTAAATTATAAATCTCGAGATCACTTGGGTCGAAGGCATTGAAATAAACACGAGACTTCTAAGAAAAGCGCTGGCTGATCGACCTGCTCAGCTCGAATTCCATCGACCAGTCGCTCTTTAGCGTAATTGGATTAACGTTCTTTGTCGACGGCTTCCCGGGGGAGAAGACCAATTATCGCTGCGTGAAAATAAGCGATAAAAGTGCCAGGTAGTCAGATTTCTGCTCTCCCTCGTCTATTCCGTCTCGTCGATCGCGATAAAGCACGCGAATTCGCGAGGTCTCCTCGAAGTTCGATGACTTCCATTTCGCTCCCCTCTTTGCCGTGTCTTCTCTGTCAGTCTGACGCAGCGGCAATCAGATTACAGAGGAGAGATAGTCGATGTGTATGTCGGACGCGTTTTACGCGAGAGCAATTGTCGATTCCAATCCGCGCTTGTTGTTGATTGCGCCATTTTTCTCAATGTGTTTTATTTACGCGGCGAAATTGGAAGTTGATACAGAACGTGACCAATTTAAAAACTCGGTTACGCACACGCGGTCAAACGGTGACTGTGTCGGGGCAAAGGGAAAATTTAAATAGCTCTGTAACACCGTTATCCCGTGACGCATGTATCAATAGCGGCTACGCGTCCTTCGAAGTTTTCAATAATTTGATAGATCGGTAACACATACACACACATATATACATACATATATACACACGTATTATTATCAATTTCTCCAAATAACTGTTACCGAATTTTCGATTACATCGTACTTCAGCGCGCATAACGTGTTTTCACACCGAGGGCGAGGAGACTCCTCAATTTCCACGCTCTACGTCAATTTTATTTTATTATCGTGGGAATGGATTCACCAGAAAGAGAGAGAGAGAGAGAGAGAGAGAGAGAGAGAGAGAGAGAGAGAGAGAGAGAGAGAGAG